TGCGACCGGCAATGTTAGCGTCATCACTGAGCGTTTTGCGTAATGCTGAAAAGAGGGAGAATTTCAAGATTTTTTCAAATTCATGAAAAAGCTGAAAATAACTTCTTGATCATTTTTTCCTCAAAATTTTTCAGGTTCTAGAATGAGAGCATTTTACAGCAAGAAAAAGAGAAAAAACTTAAAATCGTTTCTCTTTATTTTATATTCAGATTTAAAACTTCCCCAATAACGCAAAAGTGTGTTGCAAATTTTTAGAATCCTCTGAAACTCCCCAGAAACTTATTACCAACCCTACCATGTATGTTTACTTCATGCCCTCCGCCAAATTCAGCTTATAGGTCGTAAATGCATTGATAAGCAGGCGAGGAACCCGTATCGAACCTTCGACCGCGTTCAAGCACCTACCAAAAATAAACTACTTAGCAAATCCGAGGCGATTTTACAATGTGGTGAGTCGACCAATTCTCCTTCAGAGTTCAACACTGTCATTGGATGATTCAAACAACTATCAAGTACATCGACTAATTCAGCCGAATATGTCTCAATGCAGCCAGTTTCTCTGGAAAAGAAAGGTTAGAGCTATAAATCTTCGAAAAATCATGTGGTACTGGGATACGTGACAGTTTTACCTAATAGCTGCTGTAATTCTGGCGATGACAATTTCGACGACACTCTGATCAACCCGTCGTTCCACATAGTGAGGAGTGTTGAAGATCTCTTTAAGACGACTGAATGCCGTGTGCTAAAATTATTTGAATTCAAGAAGGAAAATTCAGAAGTTTTTGAGGTTTTTCTTTAGAAAATTACCCTAATCACAATTCCATTTTGACAGTTACTTCTTTTCTTTCACGTTTCTACTATAAACTTCAACTAGAAAGTGGTGCTTCATTACTAGATGTAAATGAAATGCGCTTTTAAAATGCTGGAACTGATATCTTAATTACAAAAATCAGTACAATCAGCTATTAATAAATCAACTATCAAATTAAAACTAATACTTGGATAGAAAATAAAATAAGCTAATGTAACCCAAACATATAAGCATTAGATATCTCACAGCTTGATATTCGAAGATGAAGTATAATAAGAGTCATAATATGCACAATATTCATAGAAAATTCTAGAATATAAGAAAAAATTGTTAGGTACCAGTATTTTGCTCCAACTATGAATAAAAAGACGACTATTGAATAAAGAACTTGAGCTATTAATACTTTGATCAAAAAATCTTGCCGTGATCATTTAGTCTCTAAGATAGAAAAGATTTATAATTTTACATGTTTAAGCTATTGCTTTGAAACGTGGAGTACTTAGTCCTTGAACAACACAACAATCATTTCAAGCATTGAACTATCGGATCATGAGTATCTTGAAAATATCAATACCTACGAGAAATTTCAAACATGCTGAACTAGATCTAGTCGCAGAAGATCTCATCAGCTATGAGTATGCGATGGTAAAGTAATTCGAATGTCGAAACAGTCTTAGGTACGGAGCACAAGGAGAGGAGGGACGAGGTCCTAATCGG